ACGTAATGGTAACCCAAGGCAATTTTAGAACTTACCGAGGCAGAATAAAAAGCACAGTTGGTGAGAAAAGGCTTTTGGTCGAACTCGAGGCGCTCCTCCAACGCCCACAAATTTTGGACATCTCTGCGCTACACATCATGCAAGCCCTTTTGCTTTTCTTTCTTTCTGAAATCGATGCTAATTAGCTTCCAGTGCTGACGAAAGGCTTCAGCCCCCAAGGCCTCGAGAGCTTCTGACCGATTTCTCTTACCCACTTGAACCAGTGCCTCCGCCCAGTACTTTGGCAAGCTTTTTGTTCCCTGGTCTGCCCTTGCCGGATCCGCAACCCTCAGCCGCATATCCTGCTGCCCTCGTGCAGACTCCGACCATTGCGGGGCCGTCTACTCCGCTTCCTAACTCACAAGATATCCCGACGAGCCCAGCTTGGAACCCAAGCTCAGATACCCCTCTCCGTGGCAATTATGGCAATTATATTTTTGATTCAGAGTCAATATATATACTGACACAATTATGGCAGCCCCTCCATATTGGCTTAGAGATAACCGCTTTGCCACCATGAGACTGAGCCTTTGTCTCATCAACTCCTGCTCTAATTTCCATGATGGCAAGTACGAAAATATGTGTGGGGAGTTCAAGGGAGTGGTTGGAGATGTGGTTAAGGTCCAACTCAGTTTCACAGTGGTGGAAGTGTCGTTTCCGTACTTGATACCTGAAAGGCTGGAGTGCAAAGCCCAAGTCGTTACCGCGTTTGACAGCCCGCATAAGGGGTCACAGTTTAGGATCAAGGTTTTTGGTGAAGATATATGCGGCTGCTCTCATTTGAAATCAACAAAGCTTTTGAGAAAGGTTGATGTCCAAACCACCACCAATGAACTTGTAGTTACCCGGGGATAAGATACCTTAGATATGATTAGAGACTCTTTATGTATGTTTTACGTGTATATTGATGGCAATGTATATTCTTGACCTTATTGCGAGACAATCATTATTTATAACTGGCTTAGTCAGCTCAAGCCGGCTTCTTAGCTGGAGCCGAAATTAGCCGAGCCGTCGGAGTCATCACTCAACAGTTCTGGCTGGGCTTCAGCTAAACTCGGCTCGGCTCCTGGCTTCAGCTGGCTCTGAGCCGGAGCCGCGGCAACACTAGATGCAGGTCGGTAGTTTGTGACTTACATTTATGAATACTTGCACCCACATCTTCTACAAAGTATTGGGAGATGGATCATGTTGTGCCATAGTTGTGTCCCTGCTTTCCGTTGATTAATACTTGTTCCTGTGTCTTCTACAAGGTCTCCATAATATTCTTTTGAGCCATTCTGCCAAGTCCACAATAGTGTAATGATCAGGATCTTTGGTCTCAGCCCAAACTTCCGAATCAGATTCAGCATCTGAGCTGGCATCAAGCCATGCTTTCATCTGTGGATAATTTTGGGCACAGCTGAATAATGCCTTCCAGCTGGAGTAAAATTGACTTTTTGTGATGAAGATATTCACCAAGTCAACAAAGACAGGAAACCAGCATTCAAGACCATGTTCAGTAAGATGGTCAGCCCACTCTTGGCTAGATCGTAAACCCTGCATGGCTTTGGATGCATTTATCAATGTCTTGTACTTCAGATAAGTGTTGCGAAGGGTAGGAGTGAGTGAATGCAGATCCATAGAGATGTTCAAGAATGTAAAAAGTGCTTCCTTTTGAATGGTAGTCAGGGTAGATGGACCCTCAGAAGCTACTCAGCCACTCGATTGGCCAGATATCAACAAAGACTGACGAACTGCAGCAGGCAAGGAAGGAGAACGAGACGACCTAGAACGAGACTTTGACAAAGAACTGGAGCAATGGGAGAGAAAAGATGGGGGAATAGCTGAAGCAACCTCAGCCTCAGATTCCTAGTGCATATTAACAAAGCAGATAATATAAATACTATAACAGA